AGTGGGGAATTAACTTGAATATGTGTGGGGTGTGGACGTTAGTTATTCATTCTGGATCATCCAATCAAGGTCTCTACCCCCGGGGTCGTAATAGGAGTGCTTTCGCATGGGCAATGATACTGTTTTCAGGGCCCCTGTCGAGGGAAAATTAGTGTACCAGCCAGAGGTGGACACTGGGACAGCTCTGTGACCTGCCGGGATCACGAAGACCATTCCGGAGCCCGGAGTCGCCGCCGGCGCCGACACCCGTAAACCACGGACGCGGCGCCGCTCAAGTCACGGCCGGCCGCCATGCTGATGTCACGGGCGTCGCATGTCGCCGCGCTGCATGCGCCACCGGTCGGCCCATAAAACCCCGGCTCGGGACCGAGCTGTCGCCCGCGGCGCTCCCGAAATGGCCTCACCATCACTGGACACGTTCGCGCCGGAGTTGGATCCGCGGCCGCGGCTAGCGCGACCGTAAAGACCGACCTCTCTCCCTGTCGAGGCTGACGGTACAGCGCGGCCTCCGTCCTCACGGTCACCCTTTGCCCGGGCACGGCCCCGCACTGAATGTCATACGCAATACCCATGCCGTGAGGAGACGTGTGAAAAATGTCACGCACTGCTGTGCACTTCATCAAATGGCGTTGATTCACAGCAGCTCCTCGGCTGCTGGCTTTTGCTTCGGAAGTTTGCTAGACTCATCTTTGTTGGCTGCCACTGGTCACTGCCAGCTGCGTTTTCTGGCAGTAGATTTTCTGGTCTTCTGGTTTGCACGCGATGCTATAGAAACCGGTGCAGTGTTTGATATGGTGTTTGAACCGAAACGATGTGTGGATTGGTGGCATGGTGTTTGGTATGGTGATATGTTCTTTGGACCGGCGCGGTGTGGGTTGTGGCGGTTGGAGCAGCTCCAGCGGCGGTGTCGCCGGTGCCGCCCGGTGACGCCGCCACCAGGGGCGGAAGTCGGTGCCGAGTGACGGCTGTTTGTCGTCCTGCCGTCGCGGGCGGTGCCGCCGTTTTAGCCGCAGCGCCCCGGGCGGGGGCGGGGGCGGCGCACGCGTCAGCGGCGGCCGCCGCCCGCTGGGACCATATTGCCGCCACATCATGGCGTGCGCTATTCCTACGGCCATCCATTCGGGTTAGCGCTGAGCAGCCCGATGGAGTTCGACACATTAATCCAGCGGACGGCCGGTGCCGTGAGCTGCTGATGGCGGGCCGGCGCCGCCGCTGCCGGATGGGGCATTCCGGGCGAGACGGACGCTCTGCCGGGCAGACGGATGGCCCAACTTGACCGGGCTGTGTCGGTCCGGCGGCCCGCGGGCTGCTCCGGTGACGGCCCGCAGCTGGGCCACCTGTGCGAGCCTGCTGGGCGACGGAGACCGCCGGCGGCGCCCTTCCGTCCGCGGCCAAGTTCACTTTGAAGTGCTTTCAGCTGTTATTATTACGGGAACCGAACGCTAGTTTACCTAGGGCAACATGTGGCTTCCATTTGCGGTTATGTGGCAACTCCATAATGTTTAGCAAACGCTGGAATACTAATGCAAAAGCACTTCAAACAGTTAATTAAACCAGTTGAAAAGTCTTACCTTATGCTGAATATGATAAATCAACGGGCATAGATAACATGAATCTGGATTGGACCCGAAATCAGCCTGATGCAGAATGGGGCCGAAATTTTTGGAATGGGGATTCGACTGTTTTTCTGTGAAAACCATCTCGTTTTGTCTACCACTTGAATGGCAATAACTTTTTTCGACATTTTGATGTTTTTTGCTTATATTTCTTTAAAAATAAATCTAAAAACGTTTTTTATTAGAGCCGTATATTGCAACATTTACAAGTGGTTCATCAGATATGCAATGGTCACAAGACGCTACAACGAGTGGAGAGAGGGCGAAATAAGCAGACAACATAAAACATAATGACTAATGAGCATGTTCGTCTCACGCCTGAAAGGGTACGCTCGCCGTTTTCCGCCTTCTCCAGGCTGGGACACATCGAGTACGTGCATAGCAGCGCCGGGCAACGCAGGTGGACTTGATTTTTTTCCGACAGACGGGACCGGGCGCTGCTCTGCAGTGGCGGTCGTTGCACTGCTCGCACTCCACCACTGACCGGTTCGGAGTTAGTTGGTGGACGTCCACCGCAGGAACCGTCCTGTCGCCGTCAGTGCTAGCTAGTGGTAGCAGTGATCCCATCAGCTGCGCCTTCCGACCAGCCATGCCTGGATGGTGCGGGCCCTCTTGTGCGGCTGCGTCTCCGTGGGCCGTCTAGAGGTCCACCGGGACTCGATTCTGGTCAACATCGCTCGTTTTCCTGGCAATGATACGACTCTCACTGTCTCACATTGCACTCCAGGCCGCAGCGCGAGGGCACCCGCTGAGGTGGCTGGCTGACAGTCCTCGGAGAATCCTCCAGTTCAGCAGGGAGCTCTGGACGGCTGAGCTGTTGCGGAGAGAGGCGGCGAGGGCGGACTGGAGGTCGTTCAGGCAGAAGACTGTTTAGAGAACAGTTGCCTTTGGTTCATGCTACATGTCGAAGGAGCAATGAGCAGTTTGTTTTCCGTCCTTGGGCTTCCTACCTTACCACCATACGGGCGTCCCAGCCGCCCTAGCCACTCCACGAAGCTGTTCACTTCGGGTTCAGATTACATCTACGGTTGAATAGTCTCAATCGTATAAACGATCCTCTTTCTCGATGCCACTGGGCGGGCAACTGAGCAGCCGACCAGCCAATGGGTGACGGTCTTCCCTCGTCCGATTCCTCGCACTCCAGGCACGCGTCGTCTTTCTACAGTCCGATGCAGTGATTGTAGGCTCCTAGCGTCTAGTAGCCGTTGGAAGCCGGAAGGTCTAGCAGCTTCGACGTTCTTCTGGCGTAGAGGGTAAGTTCACCCGACGTAAGCCATTTTAGAGAAGTTAACGGGTCTTCTCTAGGGCTAGAGCCGTTTATACCAGTGTCTATAAGCGTGCGTCTGAGTCTGTATCTCGCCGACCGCAAAACGCAAAAGCCTAACTCTGTACATGGCTTACTCTGGCGCTCGCTCGCTTGTTGCCCCAAAAGGCGTCTTGATGTTACTATGGTTCCAGGATCCCTGTAGCTGTATCGGTAAACTTGCAGTGCTGACGACCCATGGTGCCTCGGACCGCTGATCCGTACTGTATCCAATTCCACGGCGCCAAAATTCCATCACTTTTCTTAAAATTGTTAACATTCGTTTGAAAGTATAGTCACTATACCAAAGCAAGTCCTCCTCAAAATGACGGCCTGAGCTGGGCACCATGAGAGTGGACGCTTGGCTACGATTATGTGAGCATTATGCATTTTGGTGTGGCTGTGGCCCTTCCGAAGACACGAGATTTCCAGCACTGAAGCCGAGGGCACTGCAGCTCCTCTCTTGTACGAGAAGAGCGCAAACATTTAAAGTCGGGCTATGCAACTTGGATGCCCCGAAATGCTCCTGTTTGAGGTCAACCCTGTGTGGTAGGGTTATCATCAGATTGGAATCTGTTTTTTTTTTTTTGTCGGGAAAAACACGCTTGTCGCTTGTTGTTCGTCTTCTCCGTTGTAGCGCTTCTTATTCCTTGCTTTGCTGCTTGAAGGGCTCTCCAGTCACCATTTCTTTTCCGTGTTTTCTTTTGTAATGAAAGCCATAAGCTAACAAGCGTAAATTGTAAGCGAAACACAAATGCCTCAGGCTTAATCACTTCATGAATTGAAAAACATGTTGAATCGATTCTGATTACAAATAAGAGTAAAACATAAATACTTATAGGTACTCTGATTCAATATTTTGCCAAATATAACAGTTTCAAATGTCTAAATTGGCATCGTCCAATGCAGGCTATGGTGAATTTTAGCAGCTCGATCGCGCGGACAACAAACTAAGGAGGATCCTACTGATAAATTTTCGGCCCCATTCTGCATTTATCAGAGTTCGTGTCCAATCCAGATTCATGTTAGGGGAGAGTGGTGCAGGAGGCCCCCCCTTAAGCTCAGTTGCTATTTTTAGACAATTGATAATATTTAAGAGCTAACGTGTGCATGCGCTGTGAGCATGCATCATTTTCCCATACATATTTGCATTCAAAATGAATCTAGGGGGTACACAAACCGTAAACTTTAACATTTTGGAAAAAGTTGCAAAAGGGCCTCTTACACTATGGGTATGGTAAGACGCCCCCCCCCCCCCTCGGGCGTTTAACAAGGCAAGTCGACTTGTAAAAGACGTTTTGCGAACACAGCTGCAAGGCCTTTTATTTCGAAAAGCTAAGCAAATACGGTGTTATCGAAACCAATAACACTTCCAAAGTGCTCGAACAATGCGAAAACTAGCACAACCAAACGCTGATGACCAACGAAAATTGTACCTATTACCTCTAGAAAAAGAAACAGAAAAAAGAAACAAAAACAAACTCTTTGAAAAAAGAATGCCACGCCTGCCGCAGGTGCAGGCGTTTTAGCATCGGGGGCGTTTTTATCGGGGGGGCGTTTTATAATCCTCGAAGGGAGGGCCTCTTAAAAAAATGCAGTGTTTTAACGTCACAATATTTATGGTTTATGAGACATTTGCAGCGCACCAGAACATGGTCTATTCTGAAGCTAACATGTGACAATTTCGATGAGATAAGATTGCATTTGATAGTCATTGTTTTTTCAGATATATAAGGGTGATAAAGATGCATATATCTAGCAAGTTAAGGGGCAAAAACAGAAACAGGCTTACCAAAAGTCGCTGCGACGCACCTGATACCTCAGGTTTCGTGAGTTGTTGTTTCAAGAGGGCTTCTGCTTTACAAGAACATTAAAAAATAAATAACATTATTGGTTTGGTAAAAAAAGCGATGGGGCCTCTTACCGACCCTGGGCGTCTTACACGGATCTCCCCTATCTATGGAACGGGTAATGCATTCAAATACTAGATTACATGTAGTGCTGTTTGGTGACATTTCCGGAATAGCGATGACATGTGACCAACTATGTTTTCTCTGACGTCGTGTTTCTATTGTTCCCAGAAACTGCAGGAGCGCTGTCTGCGCGGCGACGTTCACCTGACGCACCGAGACGCCGTGCTGAGCGGCGTGTGACGTCATCCGCACGCGCACCGAGACAGACGTCATCGGTCACCGCTCCATCGATAGTCGATGCTCGCTCCCAGAGTGACGTCACACCTCTCACGGGTCACGCTGCGAGTGCCGCCCGTTCCCAGCCGATGCTATTAGCGGCTGCCTGCCGCGTGCAAACACTAATCACTGTGCGGCATATGTTTTCTACAAACAGCACCCACTGCCAACCACTCTCATACCACTGGAAGTCATTCCATAAACCAGTGGAGCTCCGATTCAAGTACAACTTCGATTCCACTTCATAGTTTGCATGTGTGTAAAAATGTATCGCGAATGTGTTTTCTGCATGAACGAAACTTCGACCAGCTTGTTAGCCACGATATCGCGTTTGGCGAGTGTGCGGGGGCGTTATGGGCTGGATGGGACGATCCGACCCCCGAGTCGGGGACGGGGAGGGGGCTGTCATCCTGACCTGGTGCTGATTCACGGCCAGGGGTCGATGAAATTCATAGTGGCTGGCCGTCCGGCCGGCCATAACGCGGGCTGTAAACTGGCGGCAGCCCTGGCCGACCCGGCGACCTCAGCCCTGCAGGGGCGTCCGGGGTCGGCGGCTGGACCACCGTCAGCCACCGGGCGGGGCAGGGCGGCCAGCCACACGCCGAGCGGAGTCCGGGCGGCGGCTGGACCACCGTCAGCCCCCGGGCGGGGCAGGGCGGCCAGCCACACGCCGAGCGGAGACCGGCCGGGCAGACGGGCTCACTGCGTGAGCTTGGTCCACACCGGCTCCTCACAGACCTTTTGTGGTGAGATTCTTAGTCTCGTGTTGCGCGTGCTCATGTTGATTCATTTTAAGTGTTCTCATTTAGCGTTGACTGAATACACGTCTTTTTACCGACTGCCGACTGGATTTTTCTTCAGCGAGCTCGCCGTCTTCATTCTTCCGAAACAGCTGGGAGCTGTAAGTGAGACTGCGGTTTTTCCGCCTGTCTTGCCGTCTCGGGAGAGGAGCGATCTGGAGATTCCCTCGGGGAAATTGGCTCGCTTTAGACATGATTTGAGGATTTAGCTCGGAGATGGGCGGAGTGCGGCGGTGGAAATGACGGCCATCAGCGGCCCCGGTAGATGTGCGCTCCTCTCTGGACCCGTCTTCTCCCGGTGACAGTGCGGTCACCAGGCGGGTCGCCCCGCCACGGAGAGCTCGCCAGTCGCGGCCGGCATCAATTATGCATATTGGTCTGACAGTGTGTCATTCAGCTTCATCAGACTGAGTGGGAAAATCGCCGAAATTGGGTCGATCGGGTCAGCGGCTGTCACAGATAATTGGACGGCTTTCTGAAGGGACTGCCTGACCGGCGCTGGAACTGAGACTCCACCGGCGCTGGGACTGGCGCCCCACCGACTGGGGGACAGATCGTACCGGCTCGGGGACTGAGGCCCCACCGGCTCTGGGACCAAGATCCCAGCGACTCGAGGACGTAAACCTGTTCAGTTCTATATCCACGGTGTCTTGGAATTGGAATGACTATTTGTGAAGTTAGAATTGCGATGAATTTATAAAATGTCAGACATTAGATATTTTGTTAGGCAATCAGTTGTCAGTGTGTTGCTTGTTGTTAAGTTACCAACAATGACGATGTTTACATGAGCACCATTGCACGACAAAATGGTCTCTTTAACTCCGTCGCAGCCTTCAATAGGAGTCTTAACCCCTTAGTTGCCATTGCCAGCATGCCTCCGGACCTGCGTCACTGTCGTGGTCACTGGTCTTCAATGGTCACAATTTCTTTTATAGGCCGTCCTACGTCACGTATGTCAGGCTGTAACGGCGCAATAATCTCCCAAATAATCTCTCACTCTGGGCACGTGCTGGTACTTCGCATTCTTATTTGTTTCTCATCATATTGCTTTGAGCTGTGGGATGATTGGCGATACTGGAATTGAATGAAAAATGATAAAAGGCTGTCATCCCTATATGACAAGACGTAGAAATTGTTAAATTTTCGAACAAGAAATGACCGCGTAGAAAATTGGGCAAATATCGTTTTCTGTGTGCCTAACTGTGAAAGGATGGCTTGACAAGATGAAATTGGAATGACCTTGTTCGCTTTCGATGTCATCTATTTTCCTTTCAGTATGTTTGTATGATCTTCCATCTATTTGAGCTCGCTCACGTCTACCCGCGGTGTTGATATTATGGCACGGCTCGCCGGTAGAAATGGACGCCATTTCTCCTGCCCAGAGGTGGCGGCCTTAGTGTGCGGCGCGGCGCCTGCAGAGCTCCAAGGCCCGTCATCAGCGGAAGGAGTGTGAACCGCGAAAAATTCGTACGTTCCAGCTAATTGGGAACGTTTGGGCGCTTTAACCCGCATTACGCGGTTACTTCTGATAACTAATTGGTCGGTGGAACCGAATACTTTATGTAGGGGAAGCGGGGGTAGCACCGCCATGTGGGAAACACCGCCATCCTCTCTATCGGCAAAACTCTGAATTGTAAATGTAAACACCCGCCATTTCGGTGTCCGAACGGAAGCGGGAAGCCGCGTGAGGTAGGTTTCGCTAAGATTTATTTGATTTTGAGATCGCAATTGCCCATTTTGTGAATTTCAAACCATCGTTGTAATCATTTGGCATGTTTGAGCAGCAAGTAAATGGTCATTTCAAGTCAAAATGCCTTGATTTTTACGTTAAATGTGAGGGCATGAAGTGCTCTTTGTTGAGAAAGGAATTACAGAAGAATCGCGTCCCGGCTTGTTTTGCTGTCGGGGCGCTGTCGGTCCATGACTGTGAGTGGGGTAACACCGCCATGCTCGGCGGTGCTACCCCAAGGGGTGGCAAAATGGATAAAGCCGCAATGATGATTCACTCAGCTCGGAGAAGAGCTTTAGTTAGGCCGCAAACGTCGTCTGTTTTTTAACCTCACGTTTGACTTCACTGGATGTTTCGAAATAAACGTGAATTTGTCATGCTTTGTATGCATATTGTCCGCAACAAACAGTCTGATCTGTGACAAACTAACAACCAACTCTTGTGTGTCTTATATGAGTTTGAGTTACTATTTCAGACAGCAGTAACGCTTCCAAGGGTGGCTGTCACCGTAAGGCCGATCTGTGGATAACATCGCCATCAGTGGCGGTGCTACCCGCACATTTTTTGGAGGACGAAAAATGCAGGACTTGTTTTCGACGTCTGTAAAGTAGCGAAATTTTATAATGGAGCGCTGGAAACTATGCCAACATGTAGGAAAACATTCCTACTTTCACATGAATGCAAAAGAGCTTCGTTTTTACTACGCATATCAGCTCGGTGAGCAGAAATGCTTAAGGTGGCGGTGCTCCCCCCGCTTCCCCTATATACAACTTGAGGATATACCAATAGCACAATTTTGATTCTGAACTCCAAGTCTGAACTCTGAACGGAATGAGAGTTAGGCAGGGAATATTGCTGTGTACCTGCAACATCGTTAGTGCTTGGTGCGAAATTAAGCTGCCACGGTGAGTCGATCGTACATCGATTAACTATTGATGGTTCCAGTTTCTGTCCTGCCTATCCGGTTGTTTGTACCGCCTAATTAAGCTGGAAGCCAGTGGCAGAGGCTCGTTTAATTAATTGTTGACTTGCTGTATACGACCGGCCGGCGCGTATTATGCAGCCTAAACAAGGCGCAGTCGGTTCGATCCGTCGTCCCGGACGTCACCGGACACACATGTAGTCTGCGACCTTGTCTTATACGCCAAGGACTCCGGTTAATTCTTCAGCCGGGTCTCTGAAGAAGTGGGCAGGTCCTATTTACCCCGAGCCTTATAATATTGAGCAGCGTGGAAGCTCCAACTTGTTCTTTGTCCTAGGAGGAAATGTTGTTTTGTCAACAAACAAAGCTAGTCTCAGCGATGCCAGTGAAGGCGCCGGAGCTTATGGGTAGCTAGAACACTGACGGAGGTGACGGCATAATATTTTGCAAGGAGCAATCAGCATCCGAACCGTCGCAACTGCTTTATGAGTTTAGCATCGACATTTTGTATTCACACGCAAAGCATTATTGTAACCATGTGCAGATGACCAAGCAAAGCACTCTACATCTTGTTTAGTTGGAACCGAAACGGAAACATTCACACGCTTAACAGGCCAGTGGACTGCTAAGTGCTACCGCTGCTAACCAGAAGGTACTTTGCCATACCGAATCGCTCTGAAGCTAGCTTGTGAGTGGTGCACTCCGCCACGGCCCACATGGTTTCTACGGAAACCGCTGAACAAATATCGCCGCTCGTCCAAACTAATGCAGCGCACCTGGACTGAGTGCACACTCTTTGGTCATTGCGAAGAGGGTTCTCCGAGCCGCTCAGCGCCCGCCGCATCGGCATCCGACAAAACGAAAAAGGTGCGGTGCTGGATAATGGAACCTGGTAATGGAATGGATAATGGAATAGAATAAGACAGCCTGATAACATTGAGTCGGGTCGGCAATCGGCAGGTCGGCGATCGCTGCACCGCGCGGTTGTGTTAGGTCGCACGGCCACGAGTATTTCGACATGACATTGATCGGGGCGATGCGGTAACACGGAGAGGAGCGGGGACGGTTATTGTTACGGAGACTAAAGAAAAGAGACTGGTCTGTGGTCCCCGGCGATCGGCTCATAACTGCTGCCTGTGAACTGACTTCTTTCGAACAAGGAAGTTAACTTGAAAATCATAATCGAAAGTGTCTCTAGATATTGAATATTTATGTACCTAACTATGTAGGCAATGTAGGCATAAGTCATAACGTATATGAACTCGCTAAGCTTCATTGTGGTGTATTACTTGCCCCATGGTGTTTGTGCCAAAGAGCAACAAAATTCAAGTCAGGCTTGACTTGCCCCTTGGATTTGCCACCTTTGGTAGGATTCCTTTCTGGCAAGGGCAAGAAGGAATCTTAATTGCTTATTGCTTCAGGGATCAAAGAGCTATAATTCGAAATTAGGATTCGGAAACATGCAGCTTCATGAACCTGTGAGTTCCAGCTCCAAATATAGGCCAAATATAGGGTTTCTCAAATCACCTGCAAAATCAGAGGGAGACGTTATTTGAATGGTCAGTGCCGCGGTATAGGTAACTTCTCCTACTGTCCTGGACTCCGGAAGAAGACGCAGTCTCAATCGACCAGCATCCCGGAAGAGCGGACATTCTGAATCAGTCAGTCTCCTCGGGACAGCGCGCTGTCGGAGCTGTCAGTGCCGACAGCCGGCTGTCAGCGGCCGACAGTCAACTGCCAGGGCTGGTCCACTCTCCATTATAGGAGATGAACAGACCCAGAGCCGGTGCTCCCGCTGTTCGCCTATACCTACTGGCCATCGCTCGAGTGAGTTGAGACGCTACAGACTCCAGTACAGAGGCCGCACATTTAAGGTCAGGCACCGAAACTTTCGCGCGTCAGCCACCGTTTGGAACAAGGTGTCTGGCTTTAGTCTGCAGCAATATGGATTACAAAGTTCCTATCGCCGGACTGGCTCCTTGGCCGTTATATTGGAGCGGGAGATTTACCGTCGCCGCTGGCTGCAGCCGATAATTTGTCCAGGGTATTTGTATCGATATTGAGCGGTCATCCGCCCCAACTCGCGTCGCTTCGGTCCTGTTTGACGAACATTGGATTGCATAAATGTCTCGCATTTTCATCAGTGGTGCTATGAATGCAGGAGGGTACTAATCAAATCAGCACTTGCACCCATTCCGGGGCAGCAGTCCAAGTCGTAATGGCGCATACACTTAGCTGAATAGCAGTCGGTGTGCGTTCCTTTCGGCTCATCCGCGAGGTCGCTTGCGACGCGTTCGGAGGTCGAATAGGCCAATAAGGTGGTGATAAAATTGATCGTAATTACAAAGCATGATCTGCTAAGTGAGGATTTGATCATCCATTAGGCTTAGGTCCTACATTAGAACGGCAGTTTCAGAAATCTTTTAATAGTGAAAGTGCCCATGACGTGGCTATAGTTATGCTCGGAACCATGGTGATATGAGCGTAATGCGTCCATATTGCGTCTCAGTAGGTGCCTAGGTATTGCGTCGTCTGTGCGCGCTGAGCATGGCATCACTTTGCAGGTCAACGACACCATGTTATTGTTTTTCGGCCCACTGCCTCTGTCAATCATATCTACTATGTGTGTATTGTGGAACTCTCATCTTCCCATTATAGGAAGGAAATGTGCGCGAATTAGGCTGAACTGCTAATTTATTATAAATTAGTCAACGCTGAACGCATGTAATCGATAACGATAGCATATGAAATAATGTGTATATGACCTTTGTTCTAACACAAATTCGGCATGGGCTTTTAAAAATAGCATAGCATCGCCCTGAGCAGACACGGCTCGGGTGCACCTAGACGTCCATCCGAGTGAAGTGTCCATTATTCAGTGTCATGACGGCGTGGTGAGCGCGGGCGGGCAGCCTCTGATCCGATATCGAGCGGTGGTCCATCGGCAGCGCGCCGCCGCTCGTAACTGATGACACCGCCGTGCGAACGGCTACGGCACATGAGCGATGGCCGTAGACGGTCCAGACTGAGGGAAAAGGGGGAGCGGCCCGAGGAGCCCCCTCCTCCCACACACGAACGCTCCGGGGTTGTCGGATGGTGGTGTGAGGGCGCAGAAGGAAGATCGTATCAGGTCAATTCAAATGGCCGAAGGGGAAGTTAGCAATTTCTTGGCGTGCCCTGATATACCGGCTTTCCTGGTTTCACGGATCAGCCAGATTTCGGGTAGCTATTCGCATTTTTGCTGCAATCATTTCGCGAGATTGCAACTATTACCAATACATGAGACAATCTCTTGGATGTGTTACCTCGTGCTCGCGTCTCTCAGTTGGGAGGATGTGCAGTCCCGTTGATCGCCTGGCAGAGCGCCTGGATGACCGGAGCGTCGTAGAACTGCACCAGGACGATGATGTAGGTGAGGATGGTGGCCGAGATGGAGAGCACGGTGGACCGCTGCAGACGGAACAGACCCAGGTCGCCGAAGGTGTCCAGGTCGCGGCCGACCGTCTCTCTGAACAGGCCCAGCTGCTGGCTGAGCTGCGGCCGGCGCCGCTCCGCCGTCAGCAGGAGGTCGCGCGTGTCGCCCACGACGGCCAGCGTGCGCTGTGTCAGCTCGCACGGCAGGATGATGGTGACGGCGGCGCCCACCACGTACTGGGTGATCATGAGCGCGTACTGCGACACCACGCCGCTCGGCGCGGTCAGGACCAGCAGCAGCCACATGTAGATGCTGGAGATGGTGCCGTACAGCATGCAGACGAGCAGCTCGTAGTACATGCTCTCCGTCAGAGAAGTGAAGGCCTTGGACAGATCGTCGTGCAGCGCCAAAAGGTGATCGATGGCGACAGGAGTGAGATGGGGGCTGTAATCGATGTCGGCCCGCAGCTCCTCGTTGATGAACCGAAGTCCGCTGCTAACGTGAACCCCGGCAAACACAAACTTGAGCGGAGTAAGATGGAAACACGAGGAATACACAAAGAACAGACTGACCAGAATCGCCACTTCTATCGTCGACAAGGAACTGAAGAAGGCGGGTTCGTTATGAAGGGTAAGCATGATTGCCACGGAGACAGCGGCGGAGAACAGGATCAGCGCGGCGGCGATGGCCAGCAGCCAGTTGACCTCCCTGTCGAGGCGGTGGGCTGGGTGCCGGTAGCCGGATCGGCTGACCAGCTGACCGAGGCGGCGCTCCAGGGTCAGCAGCAGGGCGCCGTAGCGCCGCCGGCCGCCGCACAGGCACGCCACGCTCGGCACCCACATCAGCGCGTCGGTCATGCCGAACATGCCGCCGCTCTTGGCGGCCGCCTCCACGAAGCCCATCTCTCGCAGCATCAGGCCGCCCCTCCACACGGCGAACGACACGTTGAACGCGACGCCGGCCGTGATCAGGATGAAGACGAAGGCGGAGTAGAGCCGCTCACCGCGGCTGGTGCCCCCGGTCAGCGCACACACCCTCAGCAGGCGCAGGAAGGCGCGTGAGGCCGCCGAGTGGCGCAGCAGCGGCTGGGGGTGTAGGGGCTGTATGCCGCCGCTGACCGAGACAGGACCGTCAGCGGGCTCCATCGGAGCCGACCCATCCGGCCGCTTACTTGGGGTGATCTCTGTCAAGAGCATGGGTCCGACTCTCCGTTCGTCCAGGACTCGCGTCCTTCTGAGCTGGTTGTGGCGTCTTCACCGTCCACGGTCACGTCCACGGCAGCTCACACGTCCTCCGTCCACCGCCACCTACCTCTTTGTGAGGCTCCCTATTGATGGGCCGTCATAACATTTGGAGGCAGGGAAAAATGTGATAAACATAAAACGGCGATAATGCACACTGGACATTGTCAGCACTTTGCCTTCCTCCACCTTTGACGCATTGCCACTGGCCTGTTTGCCTGGGGTCATTGGGCGATGGATGTTTGAGCAGCAAACCGAGCAGCAAACATGGCTGCAACTGCTGCGTGTTTGCGGTACCTACTAGCAATAAAAGAGTGCTGAGCAAGTAACGGCCTTTGTGCCACCTTTTCTCTGGTCGATTAAACGGACCATTTTATACAACTGATATAATATGAGAATTGATTGAGCCGAAAGTAATTTCGGATTTCGAAACAAAAGGACGTCCGACGAAAGGGATTTATTTTTAAATTGTCGTTTCATACCATCGCTGGTACGCGGATCGACGTCATGTCTATTATAGATGTCATTTTTACTAAATATAGAATCGTACTACGTCCGTAGCTTTTGAAATGCGTGTAGGATATCAGTGTGATGACCAAATATATTGACCCTGAAAGTTTTTGGCATCAATCTCGCCATTGACCTTCAAAATGTAGGTACAATGTCGTCTTGATATGGATACGAATTAAGATAATAAATCGACAACGTCAACGATTTGGTGCTACGGCTCAAACTACGGCTATATTAGTCGTTTTCACGACGGGCTATCCGGCGAATGTACCTGATTTGACCAAATCTGCACCTAATTTCTTTTACAGCAAATATCTTCATTTTATGAATTTATTTTTCAGTGTTTTAATCGATGATGCTCTCTGATAATATGACAAAGCAGGGATATAAGCAATAATTGCAACCCTAGCTAATAGCTGCTAAGAGACACACTGAACCTGATTTGACCAAATGTGCACCTAATCTGTACCAGATGTGCACCAAATGTGTACCAGATGGCCGTCGTGAAAACGGCTATTAAAGTGTTCCGCCATGGCATCGAAACGTTGTTCTGCTACTGTCCACGCTTCAAGGCACTTGTCCCCGAAGTCATGGCCTAAGCACACACAAGAACATAGGCGGCGGAACGGGGAGGGCACCGGGGCACCGTGCCCTCCTTTGATTTAGGCATTTTAACATTAGCCCTACATATGGGCGTTGCATGGAAAGAATGGGACCAAAAGTCGGCAGTGCCCCCCCCCCCCCTTAATTGAAGGTGCTCCGCCGCTACTGCACAAAAATTGAAACAGTCTAGTTGATATATTGCTGCTTGTGGACGTTTATTCAGTCCATCATATAGGCTACCCTCTGTTGACATATCACCATGGGAGTTGCGGCCTGGCGCGTGTCCCGTCTCTATCGACGGCGCCACCGGCGGAGGCCGCACTACAGATACCCAGATGCTCAGATACTCAGTCCCGTGTGCGCAGTCAACAGATCACTGTCAACAAAAGCACACGTCTGGTGAGCGATGGCGATACCCACTCACCACATCCACCCTATCCGCCAGCACATGTCACATGCGTACGAACGTTTAGAGCCGCGTGAGGGCTGAGCCTATTGCACTGCAGCGTTCAGCACTGAACGTTATACGTTACACGCGCGCAGCAGTGGAACAGATTCTATCAGCATGACCAGATGAACCAACCATCATGCAATTGACTCATCTCAGGTACACCTGAACACAGGAAAACGTAGTGGTGCGGAAACGTGCAGTGATATATGATATTGTAGTAATACGGTGTGCATGCGACGCAACGCAGTGATACTTTTTACTTTTTAGAGCGAGTGACAGGAAATGTGATCGCATGTGGTAGCAAGCACAGCACAATAAAGTGAAACATATCTTGCAATATCTCGAAAACAGACTAGAAACCAACATTCCATTTCGCATTCACCATTAATCTGTCAAATGTCTAATTGAACTGTTCACATCTGTGTGTGTCGCCGTCACTTATCTGATATCTCCTAAAGCCTGGCCTACCGTTGCCACTTCTCGTCTCTCTGCAAAAGTCACAATCGGAGATGATTGACTAGATAAACCTATAAAAAACATATTTTTTAAGCTGTAGCTAGCGCCATAATTCTAATAGTTTTACCTCAATTCCATGCAATTTACACAAAATGCTTGATTTACAGTGAAACCGAGATGGTGATGCTGAGGCTATAAATGCTACGACTCTCTCTCCCTCTCTCTCTCTCTCTCTCTCTCTCTCTCTCTCTCTCTCTCTCTCTCTCTCTCTCTCTCTCTCTCTCTCTCTTTCGGTAGTAGGTTACTAACTAAGCTGATTGTATAACCGCACATTGATGGACCTTCCATGGCTGAGTTGTCCGTTTAAGCTCAGTTGATCGAGACTATGCGGACAGTCCATCTGAACACTGAACAGTCCTAATGTGTACAGTTTACGCCGTCTTATCACACAGCTAAGGGGCTGACACAGCCTGCCACTAAATCACACACCGGGCTATCGCTCGGGTTCATACCATTCCTACGCAGCTCAGTGGGGTCCCCGGAGTTCCTTTCACGCCCTCCGGCCTAGAACAACATCCCTCTGCGCCTCGCGATCACTGCCTACGCACATTCTCTGTGTCCCGCGAGCACCAGGGGCGTTCTGCATCCTCCGGTCACTGACAGCGTTCCTCTGTGTTTGTTTCGATATCACTGAGGACGTCTTCCTTCCGTCCTGCGCTCACCCTCAGTCAGTAGACCTGATGTCGGGTGGCGGGTCCATCCAGCCCATCCATCCCACTCAGTTCCACCCATCCAGTCGCGAACCCACCCACACCTCAGATGGCCGACTCGCTGCAGATGCCGTTGTGGAGCGCCGCCGACCTCGGCCGGCCGGTGAGCCGGTCCAGCTCGATATCCGAGGCGCCGCGTACCAGTACCGGTACCGGGTCGGTATCGGTACCGAGACCAGTGGTACTCGACCGGCAGGGGCGGTACCCGGAGACGGGCAGCACTGGCGCTGGCTCCACCTGGGGGTATAGACGGAACGGCAGGTCAGCGAATGGGTCAGAGGGGTCAGAGGGGTCAGCTGGGCCAGCGAATGGGTCAGAGGGGTCAGAGGGGTCAGCTGGGCCAGCGAATGGGTCAGAGGGGTCAGAGGGGTCAGCTGGGCCAGCGAATGATGGGTCAGAGGGGTCAGCTGGGCCGCACAGGTCATCGGCTAACGTCAAGATACCTGGTCAAAAAGGTCTAATAGGGTCAACTTGCGTCTTGCTGGGTGCCGGAACGCACAAGCCACATGTTTGCGTTACACAGATCACCGACGTGTCCACGGGCGAACCAGATGGGTAAGCGGGCCGCCCAAGAACTAATGAACGCCAGTACCTAGCAAATAATGCTGCTCAGAAATCCGATAGTGGGGTTACGTAAAAACCTTTATATGTAACAAGTTACTACAACGCGGCCAGGAAAATACCTCGCGGTCTAATGGGGAAGCACTGAACCAGATATGAGGTATCATAGTCTATCACATTCGGCACTGCACTATACAACACACTTCCGCATAATAACACGGCGGGATATGTGACAGGGCATATTGGGAAAGATGGGCCATCCCTGTCGTTGAAACTTTATACGTAATTAAGCAGTAATCCTACATACAAGTATGAAGGCTTACCATGTGTGGTCTATCCCTATTGGTATGATTTAAGTTAAATTGGTGCACGGACTCCTCTGAATTAATGATGGTTAATCTCCAGTGAACGCACCGTTAAGTATACGTTAATTTTCGTCAAATCACACCGTCGAACTTCGCTGAAAAGTTAATAAACCTTTGTAAAACTGAGCTGGCTCACATTTACGTGAGCCATCGCATAAGCTGCACTTCAAGCATGGAACAGAAGTTTCGCCGCGTTACGTGCATGGTTTCTGGGAAGCATTCCACTTTTTACTAAACGGGCGCAACGTTGGGAGTGAATGGGAGACGCTCGCGCCGGAAGAGCGATGCACTCCAACTGCTCCCGGAGAGGCACGGTGGCGGCATCGACACCGATTTCCACTCAGCCTAGACGACCTGGGTCGCCGCTCTACTGTCGGCCGAGGATTCCGTTTGAGAAGATGGCTGTCCGCCTAGCGCGGTGCTGGCAAATTAGTCCTATCTGCTGGAGACGATGGCTTGTTGATTGGGGTTTTTAGGCGCTACAACTCAGGTCATGAATTATGATTCTCGGTCTGACCTGACTGGTCCATGTTGAATGGGATGCGAGACAAATCTGTCCCGGCAGAATGTGTACCTGGTCTAAAGGAGACAAACCGCTATGACCGCAGGGGACCACTCCCCCAATTAGACAAGACAGGGCCGACGAGAAATGGCCAATGCACTGATCAGTGACCTACGCTGTGGGATGCGCTGGCCCCCCGTCGTCGTTAAAACTCTCATTCAACGTTTTGTGCCACATGAATTAGAAGTTTTAAAAAAGAGTCAATTCAGAATTAACTAAAATTCTATGGTAAATTGAAATGCGTATTCCTTACTTAGAATCGGTCCCTATCGGACGTTACGAGTACAGAACAGCGAGCCGCATTAAATGAAGAAGCATTGATAATGTGCCGACATGAAGAAGCTCGTCATCCAGAGATGGCCCATCTGCGGCTGTGATCGGTGGCGTATGGCCGACCATAAGACCGCGGCCGGGGTCGGCGGCAGACGACCAGACCAGCCATAAGGCCGCCGCGCACTTAAAACGCCAAGTTGGCCTATCGAGAGCGCTATGACTTGGCATCTGGGCTGCGCCACTACACACTGCTGCCGCACAACAACATTGATGACTGGAGCGGCGGGTTTATCGCCGCGGCCCGGCTGCCAAAGTACGCTCCCGGAGGCGGCTGTAAAGCGGCCGGCGCCGGCACCCGCACCAGACCGGCGCGGCGCCCAACCACAGCACGCGCAGCCGGCACTCGGCGCCCGAGAGCCGCGGCACTCAGTGGGGCACTCGGCACTCGGCATCGGAGAGCCGCGACACTCAGTGGGGCACTCGGCAGGGGTAGGTAAGCTTCACCGGCACTCCCAACACACCACGGGTGAAGCATTGAGGCAGCAAGAAGACGTGGGACTGAGCCCGCCTATACGATTAATTGAGGTGACCGAGACCTCGCTGGCAGCCTGCCCGATCCTAATTTGACTCTGTCATCAATCTTATCACTTTGGGCCAGCATTCAGCACCCAGTTACCGGAGCAGTTTGCTTTGAAAACTGGAAGGGTACACAAAGGGATAACGACATGGCCGGAACCATAACTATGAAAATGCCGCAACGCTGAGTAGCAAAAGCCATGCCAAAGGTTAAGTGCAGGTGCTGGCTAAAAGAAAATCTCGCTTGAATGAATGCCAAAACAATTATGTTATAATTATGATGATATGACGCCATTAAAAAGCACTTTCCTAGCAACACTTTATGGCAAACATGCTTAAGAATAGGCATGTGTCCATAACCACCCAGCTGCCGAGGATGCGTCACGATCCTAGGCCTATACCCCCTGCCCCGTGACTGAAGTCTGGAGAATATCCCTCCAGCACTCTCCTCTGCATAACTGGAGCAGGAACCCTTAAGTACCCACCTGCATACATTGCGGGAAACCCTTAGCACCCACCTGCATATGTCTGGAGCCGGAGCCCTGGGAGCCGCCGTACTGCTCCAAGTACTGTTCCTGCCGCAGCAGCAGCTTCAGGTTGCGGCAGCGCAGGCACAGGATCTCCCGGAACGGCCGCCGAAAGTCCTTGTTGAAGGTGGCGTAGATGACCGGGTTGAGCAGCGAGTTGAAGTAGCCGAGCCAGAGGAAGACGTCGGACATGGAGTCGGGGATGGAGTCGCGAGCCACCATCGGCCGGATCACGGCCAGGATGAAGAACGGCAGCCAGCAGAGGATGAACGCCGTCATGATGATGCCCAGCGTCACCGAGGCCTTCTTCTCGCGCGGCACCTCAAACGACCACGGGCAGAAGCGGCGCCGCGCGCGCGGACGGCTGCTCACGTTGTTGTTGATGGCGCCCCCTCGGCCGTCCCGCGCGCACGCCTCGTGCACCTGGCACAGCCGAACGTCGTAACCGGAGGCGCTCTTGATGACCTCCGCGGCGCCGGGCCTCTTGGGCAGGTGACCTTGCGACCGACGCTCCTGTCGGATGATGATGCGCGCCGCCTTCAGGATCTTCATGTACACGAAGATGATGATGGCCAGTGGCAGGTAGAAGGACATGAGCGTGGCCCACACCTGGTAGTAGATGTTCTGGCTGACGTTGCAGGCGTCGTCGTTGCCGTGCTCGTTGCCGATGATGATGATGGGCACGATGCTGATCCCGATGGCGCACGTCCAGACCACGCAGATGTAGGCAGCCATGAGCCGCTCGACGTGCCACTGCGAGTACTGCAGCGGCTTGGTGATGGCCTGGTACCGGTCCACGCTGATGGCGCAGATGTTGAGGATGCTCGCCGTGCAGGAGAGGACGTCCGCGCAGACGTAGACGTCGCAGAGGGTGCGCCCGAAGCGCCACGTGCCCGCCCAGAGGTGGAGCAGCGCGATCGGCATCACAAGCACGGCGACGAAGAGGTCGGCCACGGCCAGCGAGACGTACAGCACCGTGTACGGCTGGCTGCGGATCTTGGGCACCAGGCAGACGGCCAGGCAGACCAGCACGTTGCCGACGATGGTGCAGGCGATCACCACGGGCAGCACCATCATCAGCACGAGCCGCACCTCCCACGGGTAGCCGGGACTGGCGGTGGCCACCGGCTCGGCCTCCGCCGCCGTCCCGTTCAAAGAGATCATGGCGGCGTGGCGGCGGTCACCGGTCCGTCACTGGTGAGTCCGCAAGCTTTGAGCGGCCTGCAGTGGGTCTGTGAGAGAAACCAGCACACCGAGCTCTCTGCGGCCCGTCTGATGTGGCCTGCTGGCCTGTGGCCGTATGCCGGTCTGTATGCCCCCAGCAGCCGGCTGGAGACGGACTCGCGTCGGCGTGCTGTAACCGAGTGTCCGCCGGGATGGTGGCGAAGAGACTAGCAGTACGGTGTGGCGAAGTACTCCGACCAGCGATGGGCCAGATCCCGCTTCGGCCGAGCCAGCAGATGAGCGGATCAGCAGGCAGATAGGCGACAAACCTGAAACAGATGCCGAACGGTTAACTTGACTGACGACTCATGTCGCATATTTGTTTCCGCAGGACAACGTTTCATTTTCTTCCCCATAACTCATTTCGTGAGTCGGAGACGACACTGCATGTTTTCGCTCATTGGCCACTTTTACAAGCCAGATTTTGAATTATATGGCATGTGAAAATCAATCTGCACCTAACTATGTATATTTTTTTCCAAGTTTACTTCGCTGCGTCCTAGATTTATGGATAAAGAACAGCATCCTAAACAGTTTTGAAATAAGTCATTCAGACGTCAAACACGGCCTTCAGATAACACCTCATAATTCTGGCGCGATTTATTTTCTAGTCACTATTTCCCGCTGAGTAACAGGTTCCGAATTTACAGCGACATCCATCTCAGCAACTTTCATCAGCAACAAGCGCTTTTACCGCTCTATCAGAACTTCAATCCATTACTGGCTACCTACGATTTCTTGCTGTTTTCTGCTTTTTCTGCACAGTGTATATAAATAGTTTTCTTGTTTTATTCAGATTTGTTGAGCAAATGCCACTCGTTTCAGCTGGTGGCATAACAGCATACATAGGAGTCTAACCTAACCCTACACCTAAAATACACTTCTTTCCTTACTCGAGTCTGGAGTTTCTCACACATTATACATATGAACTCTCACAAAGTCGAAGTCAAGAAGAAGTTTTGCCATCCACCCGGCAGTTGTTGCTATCTCTCATGGTCGTCCATGCCCTGCACGCTGCACGGACGAGGGGACCCTGACGATCACTGAAGTGGCCGCTGCAGCGCCCCCGACCATTCACGGCGTTCGTGGCGCATTCACTGCGTTAGTGACGCCTCACTGCCGCTCCACTGTGTTCCGTTCGAGCTGGCAGCGACAATGGCTGGTCCGGTGGACCGTACCGGGCACAGCGCGGGCGGCCGGTTTACGAGGTGTGGGGGAGTGAGCACGCCTCGCCCCGGTCGCCGAACGATGATGCCATGACACGCCCCGCCCCGACCTGGCGTCTCGCGTGCAGCAACTCAAACAAGTTAGCGCAGCGCGCTAATGCCAGCACAACATGCACGCGGCCTTCTAAGCGTGAATGGCCCGACGGATGACTGGAAAGTGACTAAAGAGGGACGGGCATGCTCATCGGTCGTTTGCACGCGGCACGGCCCTAAAATGTGGGATGGAATGGAAAGGAGATCATAACATGGAAGCGACATGACACGGGCTAGCTTAAAAAATCACAGATCCAAACTTGGGTGCGTCTTGATGAATAATTTTGGATCAGCCGACTAAGCAAACATAGCCTCGATGTTAATGATTTGACGCTTTAACGGCTTTAACGGCATCACTAGAGGCGAAAGGGCGGATGAAGTGGTGCACGCTGTGCACCTCTAAGTCATTCTATTAGAATATAATGCCTATATTTGATTATATTTCTAACTTTAGAGTGAAGTTTAAAAATCGGCCATTGGCCATTGACATGGGTCGACCGTGCGGTTGAATATTTCCAAATCCGCACTGTCGCGTCAGAAGGTGATGGTCATCCAAAATTATTTATTACGGACATTTGGCGGTTGTCAACTTCCGACCCAACTTCTGAACAAACAAAAACTTTGACCAGCCAGTCATCTCCACAGAACGAGAGCAAATCCATGCCGTTTCCAAAATCGCTCCTGCATTTGACCGGCAGGCGATCGCGTGCGAACGGCTCAGTCGGACATTCAACTCGGGCGGCGATTTGACAGGGCCCCGTCGGGTGTTTGGGATAACTAGACAGCAACTCCTGTTGCTTAGCGAGACAGGAGCGATTCGGGCCGCTCCCACAGTTTGGCAATCAAACAGTTTGGTGACGGCGACAGAGGAGTTTACGGAGCCGACGCTCGCCAAACAGGCATTAGATCGCATTCGCAGGCGTTCCGTTTCACTGCAAGAGCCGTTGCAGTGGGCGAAAGTTGATCAACTTTGAGCCGGCTGCCTGCACAGTGAGCGGTGTCGCTCCCAACTAATCAGTAAATATAATTAATTAGACACGCTCTCTACGCGTGATGCTGATGAGAATTGCTGTACGGTAATGTCCAACATCCCACATTGCATACTCTTTCATTCCTGAATGAGTCTCCATAAATTGCTGAGTACATCATACATCACCGCAAGCCTATCACATGTCACCCTGCTCCTATTATCGCTAATACGAATACGCCTGCCTCTGACAGAGCGAAAAACAAACCATGAAACCCGATTGTGCCAATGCTGTTATCCCATCAGCTCCCAGAGAGACATACGCGGCGCACAGTTTACGAGGCCGCTGTGGGTGCGCTGAGAGCGGCTGTAAGAGCACTGAGAGCGGCTGTGAGAGCGCTGAGAGAGGCTCACAGAGCTCGGCAGCTCAGTGGTGGTCCTCTGAGATCACCGCTGAGGGACTGTCTCGACCACTCCGTCTGGACCAACGGACCACTACTCAGCAAAGCCGTCTAAAACAGAAACATTCCCGGCAGTCGGCATTGGGGTGAACTTCCTCTTGCTTAAGTACAGTATAGCTCGGCTGGTGCCGAGGGCGACGCACATATAATCAATATTGATCCGAGAGCTCGGTATCATCCTACCTGGAAACCTACCTGAATCTCAACAGGACAAACCATGACGATTGAGCTGTGCCATTGTGCCATCTGACAATCGTAATTGTTTGCTACAATATTTGGGTGTTATTTATCACGTTCTCAAATCACTTGCTATAACGTGGAGCTGACGGTTCCAAGCCAACACAGCGCCTGCGACCTGGTGGGCCATGCTTCTAAGACGAAGCTGGCAGAAAGGAATTTGCATGCCGCATTCCACTGCAGCCATCATTCACGGTCGTGACTTAGAAAACAGCTATTAAATGTCTATATTTGATGTCACAAAAGGGCTTCGTAATGGACTTTGGCTGCTTCGTAACAGCTTACATGATTCTGCATTCGAATATAAATATATTCGCAGAAGATGCTGGTGGTGCAAAACTGGCTGACAAGCTAAGCAAATACAGACTAACATGAAGGCTGCTGAAGTGTGGAGCGGGACGTTATAAACACTGAACGAGCGTGTTCAGTGAAGATAAGCGCAGACTGAGAAGTAAATATGCGACGTGCAAACTGATTCTGCAGTGTTACGGAGTTTGCCACTTTGTCAGTATCATATACAAAATAGTGATTATTTAGACTTGTTCCTTCCGTTGACAGTTAATTGTGTGCTGGTGTATGAGGCCGGTGATATACATATACCACGGCACGATGACGATGTAAATAAACAGTGCATATTCGTCCCATGCTATTGCAGACAAATGCATATATAGTAAAATGGCAACTGTACCTACTCATTGACTGCGGTGGCGGGTGTCTGGCACCGAGCCAGTGATGGAACATTATCGGCACGCTGCTGTATTCAGCCTTCAGACGTGGTCTGACAGTGTGGAAGGCCGATGACTGATGAGTGACGGGAGATCTCCGGTCGGACGTCCCGCCGGCACCGAGAGGACGTTCGCATCCGGCGCGGTGTCGGGGAGCAGCTCGGTCGTACGCAGAGCAAGGAGCCGCCGCTACGAGCCGTGTCGGCGGCAGTCTGGGCTTAATGCCCCCCGGCCCCGGGCTGAGGTGTCCCAGCGCCGGGCTGCAGTGTCCCCCGCCAGCCGGTCCACCAGCCCAGAGCCGGACCCAGCTGCCTCTCCGGTGCCGACCGTAAAAGAGTTGGTTCGTAAACCTGGCTCGGGCTGCTGTTCGGGTTCCGTATTTGAGGCGGAATCGAGCGGCGAGGAGCCGTACAGGGGTCGGCCAGTGAGGCGCTGGCTCCAACTGAGAGACGAGCCGCCGCAAGAGCACGCCGCCATAGCTTGGGCCGTTCTTAGGGCACGGCATGGCGGTGCTCACTAAGACAGGAGTGGGTTCGAAAAATTGTCGTAAACGTCTATTAATTTTTACACATTTGAGACGAGCGCTAAATGCGAAATTGTACGCAAAAACTTTTCGAGGGGAGGATTTGCGATGAGGTATTTTTTTTTTATAGAAATTTTGTCCGAATGGATGAATGGGTGGCTATGGGCCCGGGTGCCCCGCTAAGCAGTGTTTGTTGCGAATGACACCACGGACCCACCACCCCGCCTTGCCCGCGCCCGGTTCACCGGTGATAATTTGGATCGAAAGTTTAACGTGCCGCAGGTAGATGGCGGCACGGTCCTCCCGGGTCTAGGTATAGTGACATTGTCTAATTGCTGATTTTTCGAAGCAAAATAAGCACATCAGCAGCAATTATCCAGCTACATTACAATCAAATCGGGAGAAGTCAGGATTGGCTGCCGTGCTCTGTCTCCAGCGATACGGTTTGTGTCCACATCGTACATGCGGTATATGCCCATATTTTGCACTGCACCTTGCTTGGCGAGAATCACTAGAATGGGATAGGATAGGAGAGGAGGCCTTGAAGAGAAGACGGAATGAGAGGGCAGAGGGAGGTGTTCAACAGCGGCAAACATTCCCTCACGTCTGTATGTAATCACAGATTTACTCATCTGAAGCGCAGATCAAACGGATTTGAGTGAGTGGTCAGTTCACCGTGCCGTCATTTTGAATCGGAACGATCGATTGGGTGGGTTTAAAGGGACTATCCCACCTTTAAAGGGACTATCCCACCTTTAACCCGCGCACCGACGCGGGGGGCGGATATCCGCCCCCCCCTGAGGTTTTTCGCGAATAGCGGGAAAACCGCGGCGCGTAGCGCCGCGAAATTTGGTATGACTATAACCTCATCAATTTTACACATGGTGTGCAAGTTTGAACCTCCTACCTTTTAAGGTCAGGTCACCAGGTCACTTTGAATGACCCAACCTCAAGTCACTTTTTTTGCAACTTTGTCACCGTGCCAGAGCTACAGTAGATGTCGGAGGCCTTTGAAAGTTGCAGGATATTATTAGGTCATTAGTAGCTACAATTTGTTTATCTCGAAATTTTCATATCGGTGACCTAAGGTCAGGTCAATTTCGCGACCTCCCCATTATAAGTCTATGGGGGGAAAAATCAAATCCCTGTTTTACCACTAAAACGGGTCGGAATGGCCCCATATACCATACATGACTTCATATACGGTCAACCTTCACTACCTTGAGGTCTGTTTTGCTGTTGGGCAGCTGTGAGGTCATATGACGTCATCAAAGGTCACCAAAGGTTTTTGGCCAATAACTCCGTAGGTACAGGAACAAGATACAGACGCGTGGATGGTCTCATTGTGTTCAGCTCGTCAAGACGCATCGAATGATATACATGATGACCTCGAGGTCACGTGACCTGAGGTCAACCTTTGACCTTGACCTTTCGAGGTCAACATATATATCATTCGATGCGGATTGACGAGAGGATCACGATGATGCGCTTAGTTTGTTCACATCTTGACTAATACGAAAGTTATTCGAGAAAAACTCTCTCCATATCTAGCGCCGCCATTTTGACTTTTTCGACCCCTGTGACGTCATCTTTGACCTGACCTGAAAATGACCTTAGTAAAAATTGTAGATCTTGGCCGTGCGTATCCGATGCCGTTTATCGCTTGTCGCTATCTTGCTTCGTTCTCGAGATCTCAGGGGGGGGGGGCGGTCATCCGCCCCCCCCCCCCCGTCGGTGCGAAGTTGGCGCAGACCCCCGTCGGTGCGCGGGTTAACATGGGGTTTGAGTTGAGATAGCCAAGTTTGCGGCGAGGTTCAGAAACCACTATCTATCTAGGTTGCAACGCCCGCGGCCTCTTGGTGTTGAAGAAATTCGTTCCCTTCATTTGAAAATGGGCCTTGTACAAGGCCCTGTCTTCAACATGGAGCGACCGTTAGTGTGACGTCACCTCGTTTAGTCATTCTGATTTAAATGGGTGTTCGTTGAAAAATCGCTTAAAACCTGATCTGAACTTTGTTGTGGTGCCTACAGAGTAAAAAGAATCAGCCCTATGACAGTAATGTGGCCTGGGGAAGGAGTTAATTTTGGGCTGTGACGTCACATATTTGAAAGTTTGTGTTTGGAATATGGGAAGCCTAAGATGTTTAATGAAAAATAAATGCCAGAACCGTGTTCCTGGTCATCCAATCTATAAAGTCGGGCACAATTTAACTGGTTTTAACAAGATTTTAGAAGGTGGGATAGTCCCTTTAATGAAAACTATAAATTCCTACTTTCTGATATCCACGCGTTTCACTCTCCTCCGACTTCCCGCTCCCCATGTCACTGGTCCAACCGGTACTTCGCCTTCGTCACTTAAAGGCTGTTTCGTCTCTTATGCACCGTAATTTGGTGCATAGAAACCAGTGTAAAAACGGATTACCTGCTGAAGCACGGCAAAACACCAATGACGTTGCCAGCTTGGGAGAGGCGTAACATTTTTCTTCAGCTCAACTGCGGTGCTGGACATCGCTGGCGCCTGGGTGATAAGCCATAAACAACTCGTGCTTACCGAGTCGATGCCTAGACCGCCTTCTGGCTAGAGTGTCAACTTGTTTCATGAGCATACTTTGTCAGACGTGGTATGTTCCCTGATGGCATCCTCATAGTCACTCACTAATAACAGATGCTTGGAATTCCAATAAAGAATACATCAACCGAATAACTGAACACTGCACTTGCTATGTCGTCCATGAAAGTCATACCATCACGAGCCATTCGTCCTGGTAAGTTTTCTTGCAAAACTTTGACTAGCAAAAACCTTATTGAAAATATAATGAATGACATTGAATACTCATGAAGTCAGATTCTACACTATGCTCTAATCTCGCAGAGCTCTGTTGGATCCCCTCCGAGAACTGTCAACCAGACTACTATTTCCAGCGTCTATCGATCGATCTGTTTACTATTCTCAGGGAACCAGACCAGGAAGAAGTTTTTTATTTGAGCAGCTCTTAGAACCGAAACATCTGTACGTACATAGGAGAGAGTGGGGTAAGAGGGTGACGGTAGGTAAGACGGGCACCCCCTCTGCAGATCAAACCAGCAGCGCTGCGAGCGAGAAAAATTAGGGCCAGAGTTGCCTTTCCCACCACACACAACCATTGAAGGCTGGTGAATTTGCGTTCAGTCAATTATCTTTAATTTCGAATTCTTTTAAAAACACTCATTTCATTGAAAACATCCATAGTGTATTGTGCAAACTTTTGTGTGCAGCACAATAGAGCTAACAACTAGTAGGTAGTCCAAGTGGTACATAGTACATTCATATGTCAGCAATGTTCATTTACCACGGAATTGCTCCGCCTGCCTCAAACTGTCCACAGATAAAAATCGTGCTAAACTTCTAACATTGAGTTTGGGGTAAGACGGGCAAGTATGGATTCAATGGGTCTTTAAATGGTGAAAATATTTCTGTTTCTGTAGGAAAAAGAAGCATTTCTGGTGAAAATGTGTTCGATCTCGACACTTGCAAACATATAAGCAACATTCCTTCGGTACAATGTATCCTCTAATAATGAAAATGAAAGACGGCTTAACAAGGCTTCTGAACTAGGGCCTTATACAAGCATACGCATTCTGCACGAATCTCAGTCGTATACTGCCTTTTCGAAGCACTTGAGACCAACGAGCGATTGTATCAATGCGGCTAATCTCGGGTATTTATTACCAGCTGTGCTGGTCGGTGAAAGTAGCTGGCTGTCTTACCCTACCCATGTGACCGTTTTGTCCCATGGGGCGGGGCGCAAGACGGTTTTTTTTTGCAAGGTTTTGTAAAAATAGCTACAGTTTATTTGTTGTATCAGCTCTAAAGTTCATCTTCTGGCAAATGGAAGTAAAATGTCTATTGTCTACAAAAGGGGTTTCACTCAGTTTCGTGTCTCTATGTTGTTATTAACTGGCCGAAAAATGGCTTCAAAGTTAGGGTGCCCGTCTTACCCCACTTTCCCCTACCTACGAGTATACCGAGGTGCATGTGTCTGCTTAAATCATTTTCGGCTATAATCGTGTAAGGAAGTCGTGGCCTCATGGATGGTCGTAATGCGTGAGAGCTGGTTGAAACGATACAAACTTATAATACACGTATTTCAATAAAAAAATTCGTTAAACCAAATGGTTATGACAATTCAAAATCAACTTCGGGCATTACGTTCTATGAACACCACCGACAAAACAGTCACTCAAAACGTCGTATATTTCGTAAGAAGCGTTCTTCCTCCCTTCTGTATCGTACTTTGAACCTCAATATGTCTAGAATAAATATTGCCTTGCCCTCATTTGAGTTCGGGAATTCATTGCATATTTGTTGATTCAAGGATGGATCCGCTTTCAACTGCTTTTGAGAAGGATGCAGGAATTGTGGCATATCGTTTGAAGTCATATAATCATATGGGAGCGTCACAAAAGCGTCAGCTTGTATTTTTCTGAAATATCAAAACATCCCCGGAGAAAATGAAAAGATCAAAATATTTGTGAATTCATTTCTCGGAGGGATGAAAGCCTTTGGGAATTTTTTGAATACTTGTTTTTATGGAATTTTTGAAAATATGTTTCAGCATCAGCACCTAGTAAATGGACAGTTTAAAATACTTTCATTATCATATTTTCATAAAAAAATATCCAAAATATATCTCAGTATCTAGCTAGAAGAATTGTTCATGTTTGTCGACTGACTAATTCTAGATAGGTGGATTTCAAATTTGTAGTTCACTTTGCTTCATACCTGCATGCAGTTAGGTACACTGCATCGTTCCACTTCTACTTAAACAAGCACGGCATGCCTGCCCTTCTAAAAATGCTTCGCTATATTTCGGGAAGCTGTAACACGGACAGTCTACTATCCATGTTTTATGTGTTAGTTCTCATTGGTATTTATCTTGTCAACAGCCAGCTGCTTCCTACTAAATCACTTGCATTGCGTGACGTAGAAGCATGCCTGATAGTGGAGAGGCTGGAGGCAGCTGCAGAGCCAACCGGGTCCAAGAGCAGCACATTGTGTCACAATAAGGGTCAGTGAACTCCAGAGCAGGCTCCTGTATACGAGCCTCACACCGGGTCACTCACCGGCTGCTGTTCTCGGCTGAGGTCTCGGGTCAGAGGTGGCGCCGGGCAGTCCCCCACCCTCCTTCAGCGTCTGCGGCGTCACTCGGTCACCGTTCGTCACCCGACCGTCAGCGGCGCGAGCACGCCGCGCGCGCGGAGCGTCGGAGCCGACGTGCCCCTCCTCGCGGAGCCCGGCGACGACTGAGCACGGCTGGAGAGCGCGCTGCCGGAGCGCCGTGCTCGCCTCTGACCGGCGCGGCACGGCCGGCGGGCTGCGTCAGTGCATCACCTACCGACCTCTGATCTCCGGCGGGCTGCGTCAGTGCATCACCTACCGACCTCTGCTCTCCACACATGTCGTCAGTTACCACATAGCTCCTAGCGTCTGAGACGACGCCTGAATTGTACTATGAAGTTGCGTCGAACACTCCGCATCACTTTATTTTCTCCGCCTTTAATGGACTAAATAAATTGTCTTAAAATGAATGATTAAATGCATTGCATGGTAATTCTCGCAGACGTGTACCACTGTACATAAACAACACACATACCTAAGCATGTTCATTGCTCAAGTTGTTTCTGTTTTGCGACCGATCCTTGTGAGCCCATCATTGCTCTCTGCCAAGGTCTCAGGTAATGAGGTCCCGGGCCACACAAGGACGGGTGCCGGCCATCATCCCCACCAACCCTCTGAGGACACCACCAACAAGATCAACTATTAGGAAGCGTTGACAGTTATTGAGGTCAATGGTGACAGGGGCCGCCGCAGGAGCAGACCACTCGCTCGGCGCTCAACGCTCAACACGACAGGCCCGTCGTTTATTGTTTGGTGCCTGTTCTACAAATTGGATGATGGATAACTTGTGAGAATCGGGGTGGAGAGTTAATCTGCTCAATTTCAGAATATGATGCGTGCGTTTTGCACCGCAAAATTCTCCTTTCGGTTACGAGTCTTTGCACGGCATAGCATTGGCAATTTCATCAAGCCTAAATTAAAAACTAAAAACAACAGCATTGAAACATGCTAGAGCAAATGTAAACGTCCCGATATGCATATAGGCATTTTCAATCCCTTTTTGCGTACATCTATCGGCAATCGTACCTATGTGAGCCCAAACAACGCACTTTGTCAGGTAGAAAGTTGATGTCATTAGGTATACCTACTTCGAATTCAGTGACGTCAGAAACATGCAATCGCAAATGTGATTACACGGTCGATAGCAAGCCAAGAGGAGACTGGCTTCATTTCAACGCCGACGTATTTGCATCAATAGGCTCCGACGCACTTCGTAAACAAATTAAATCGTGTTTCGCCTGTATCTTCTACATCTTATGACCTGAATGTCAGCCGGTTCGTCTTACAAGGGGACATTTATTCGGCATCTTCTTTGAAAAAAAAAACGAATGCGGTAGCGTGGGCTGACGTTTTTTATACACCCCTCCTTTTTCACCAAACAAGGAGCGTAAAACGTTTAAAAAAACATGTATAGGTAGAACATTCGCAGTTTTGAAAATATGTTTCTCGACGTGCTGCGAAGGGAGGCAGTTGCCGTGTAAGATTTATTTGTTGCATATGTCCCCACGGCCCACACGTTCTTCGCTGCTCTCACTGGTCAAAGCCGTGTTCCAAGTGGTTTAAGCTGTTAGAACCCAGCTTTAACGCAGCTTTAGTGCTCTAACAATTAAGGGCCGTGCTCTTACAAGTGAGAACCGTGCTCCGACAAGTCAGAAGCGTGCTCCGATGGGTGAGAGCATTGTTCGAACAGGTGGAAGTTACTCCTGTCCCATATCCTTTATCCACGCATCTAGCTCCGTCGAGCGCTAGAAGCTGAAAGGTCAAGCTTAAAATTTGACCCAAGTTCGACGTCATGCACTGACCGGAAAATGTCGATTACTGTCAGCCGATCAGAAGGTATCACATTTGATGTTTTCAACGCTCTTTTACGTTTCTTTAAAAACCTCGCCGGCCGAGGGGGGGGGGGGTGGGTGGGTGCCGCCCACCCATAGGGTTTTTTCACGATAGCTCCGAACACGCTGGCGATAGAGAGCTGAAACTTGGCATACCTGACCTTTGATCCAAGCTGCATCTTTTGACACCAACCGCATTTTTGGGTCAGGTCAGATCACTGACCTATGACGTCATAAGTGAACCTCTGCACGGTCTTCAGATGTCGCAACTTCGCAGCGCCCTCACTGCCAGAGGAGATGTCACAGGGAAATGAAACTTGCAGGATCTAGTATCCATTTTGAGTCTCACAACTTGTATATCTCAGATTTTTCCTAAAGGTCATATGAGGTCAGGTCATTTTCGTGACCTCACCATTACAAGTCAATGGGGAAAAATGAAAACTGCTATTCTGGCGCCAGGAACGATCTCCAACTAACTCAAGCACACAGAATCGTGATTTGATGCACTCCTTGCAAGGTTAGATGCGTCACTTTTGCAATGTTGACCTTTCGTGACGTCATTTATGACGTCATCAAGGTCAGATTAGTTTTTCGTCAATAACTCCCGATCAAATTGAGCTAGCGAGTCGAGAAGGCCACCAATGGACTCAGGAAGACCTGCCGAATCGAATGATATGCGAAATGACCTCTTCTTTCGACCAACTTCGTGACCTGGGGGTGCTGACCTGACCTTGACCTGAGGTCAACACCCTAAGTTGACCTGACCCGAACAAAAAGTATATCATTCGACGCGCCTGAGTGAGGCGAACACGATGCTGCCAAAATCGCGGCTCTGCCGCCGTTTTTTGCGAAGTTATTCACCAAAAACTGAACCGTACCCTGGGGCACTTGACCTGACCTCAGAGGTCACCGTTTGACCTAGGACCTTAAAATCGGGTACCAATCTCTGCGTCTCGTAACGGCGCACACGCTCGTTTTTTCCGCGACGCGCTAGCTCCACCAGGGGCGAAACGGTGAGGGGGGGGGTCGTACCCGCCCCCCCCCCTCGGCCGGCGCGTATGTAAAAAACCAATAGGTCCGGCGAGGGTTAAAAAGTTGGCATATACTCTATAGCATTATCTCAATTATTGTAGCTAGTTGTAGCGTCCTGAAGCCTCCATCAACAAAAAACAAAAACAAATTGTATTTAAGTTTTGCCAAAAAAAAAAAAAAAATGCCGCTGATCGTTCTGTAACAATCAAACATCACCTCAAAGTCAGTAGAGTAGAGCATAGTTTTCAACTTAATTATCCCGAAGGTGCGTCTTTGGCCACACTCTCCAATTTTATTTTTACGTGTATAAAAAACTGCGGCACGCAGCACTTGGTATAGCTCATTATATATCTGTTACGGGCAATAATAATGATCTGATCGGAATATGACCCATATAAGTCTAAAATATCTTATAAGAGAGCCATGTTTTGTCTTTTTCTGCGTCATTTTTGATTTCGAGATAATCTGGAGTAGCCAAATAGACCCAGTTCGCTTGCAGGCGCTGATTTGGGAACAGTGATCAGGGAGCGAGCGAGCAGCCCAGTACCTACCTGCTGCGTAAAGCCATAATTGGCCTGCCGGTTGGGTTTTGCCGAATAAGCACGAAAACGCTTTTATGGTGTTTGGACATCCACTTTCGAACAGGGCTATATAAACCAGAAGGGTTCGTACGAAAACAATGAGCGACCATGGTGGCTAAACACAATTCAGCTGCAACTTAATGGTAACAGAACAGCCAGTGTGGCGGGCGAGCAGATGTAGGCATGGAATGACTGGTGACGGAATGTGTGATGACTGATGAACATGTATGATCGATTGGTGCAGGGATAATAGGTAGCGCAGTGTGGATCGTAAGATATTTTGTTTTATTAGCCATTTTCACGACGGGCTATCTGGCGAATGCACCTAATTTAACGAAATCTGCACCAAAATTCTTTTACAACAAATATCTTCAGATCATGAATTCATTTCCAATATCTGAACTGAATTCTGATTATTTAAAAAATGAGGTCTATAAGCATCTGTGCAACACAAACGGACAATTTTTTAGAAACACAGTGAACCTCATTTGACCTAATCTGCACCAAATATGTATACCTGATGGCCGTTGTGAAAGTGGCTATTATTTACTGATCTATCTATTGCTGGACGAAGTCCTATCGGCTTATGTTTCTCATGTAAATTTGGCTTGAATATTGGAATGGACGGATTGACAGAGCCGGTGGTGGAGCCTACGCTAAGCGGATCTTGTTGCCTAAGCCCCGACCATAGGCGCGGGAACCGGGAGGGGGGGGGGCAGTGGGCCGGCAGCTTGCCCCCCCCCCCCCAACTCTGGGACCGTTTCCATTCCATTCCAGAATGTTTATTGCGCATCGACAACCTATAAGTAAAACGATCGGAAAATGAACATGAATAACAGAGATAAAGCAAAATAATATAAGAGTGGTGCAAAAGCACATTGTGCTTGACTCTAGGCACCACCTCTTGTAACATAATCAGATAGACATCATAAACATAAGACAACATGAACATAGCCTTCAGATCAACGTCGAATATAACATAAACATACAACGTAATGAAGGTAACGTAGCGTAATGAAACAAAACTACCACTGCCGCCGCCACGACAGGCCACCGACCCAACCCGCGCTGACGTCACTCAGCCCACCGGGGACGCCGCCCACAAAACTGAATGAGGTAGGTAAATTAATAGGTAAATCTGTGCGAACGAAGCAAGAAATTTTGGAAATGCTGAGCCACCGCACGACAGTCCCCGCCGCCAAGATCGTCGCCATGCAAAAGAAGACGTAATAACCGTGTAGTTGACATTTGACCAAAATTTTCGCCAAAAATTTGCAACATGTCCCGGTAAAGTTCCTCTCTCTGCAAATTATAGTTGGGACACGCTAGAATGAAATGATGAGTATTTTCTGTTTCAAAGCCACAAGCACATTCAGGTGTATCGTGCCTTTGTATTTGAAATAAATGTGAATTTAGTTGTGACATTTGCATTCGTAGCCTAGAATGGAAAATATTGCCCATTTTAGTGCCAATTTTGTAAAAGGGAGAAGGCCCAGGCACCCCCAGTCGCCTCGAGATCTCTCGTTGAAAGGAACGAGGAGGAAGGGATCGGATGGATTCGGGAAGCTGGTTCCAGGATTTGCCTGTTGAGGGGAAAAAGGACTTCTGGAAGGATGTGGTTCGGTTGGGAGGCATGGTGTGTGTGTTGGAGTTGCGTAGTGTTCTGCCGGTGTTTTCTGCACGTGTTTCTGGCATGATCATCGTGATATAATTTGGCGTTTGGTGTC